GGAAAAAAAAAAAAAAAAAAAAAAAAAATCGATGGACACTTTTGAAAATTTTGCTCCAAATCTGATGGGTAATTGCACCACAGAACATTATCTATTTTAAGTTCTGCTTTTTACATCTCTTTGGTGGGGGTTAAGCACTCTTAAATCAAAAGAAAAGAGATACACAATTACAGCCACTTTTCAGAGTTGTAAATAAATACACAGCATAGTAAAGAATCAGACTCTCTGTGATGGATTCGCTAGTCCACTAAGGCCACTCACCAATCCCTTCATTCACACTGTAGCACTTCTGAAAGTCAGACCTAAGGTTTTCTGAGGTAGGGTCCTCAAAAGCTGAGCTATCCAAAAGTCTATGGGTATCCACTTGAAAGATTTTGGTGGAAAAATGTTCAGGTCCCAGGTTAGGGCTCAGGATGCCCTACAAGCCCCAGTCTGCACGTAGGCTCCTGACCCAAAATTTCACCTGAGCTCAGACTTCTCTGAGCTTATCCCCAGCATCTGCTCTCAAGCCTGAGAACTGCCCCGGGGGCAAGCACAGAATCACTTCAATGGCAAACTTCAGGGTCTGGAATGTAAGAGCGGACATAAATGGGCAGGGCATACTCAACCTGGTCCTTGTCAGGACCTGTCACTGCAGCTGTACAGACAAGCTCACTACTGCTTATCGCCTCTTTCCAAGTTCTACCAGAAGTTGAACTATCAGTATCACATAGCAGCAACTTATTGAAGTCAAGTACAAAAAACCACGGCAGGCTTTTCTCCCATTAGGTCCCATAGTAGCAATTATTTTCTGGCTCAGAGAAATTCACTCAAATATCTTCTTCCATACCACACACCTCCTCCTCTCTCCTTTTCCACAACATCTCCTCTTTTCCCTCTCCCTCCTTTTGTGGTTAACAAAACCATTGCTAAAATGTCACCATGTTGCTTGTGGAGACTGAAGCTGCTCTGCATAATTCATCCTCTCCTATGCAGACCTGCCTCCTTAACTGCTTTTCTACTTGTTTACTTCACCACATGATGGAGGTTTGTTCATTTCAGTATAAGTAATCTGAAACAACCATTTCCATTGTGATTCAGATCTGGGACTTCTGGGTTTTAAGTGCATCCCCCTAAGGCAGATAACAAGCAAGCAAAATAGCAGCTTTCTATTATAATAGGGCAATTATATAAGCTTTATAACATCAACAGGACTAATGGAGCGATCTGATTGGTTATGATCTCAACCTGTGCAATTATGGGGCAACCACCACAGATCAATGCACTCAAGAAAATGAAGTAAAAATATGGAGCAGGGAGAAAAAATGTGCATATTTTTCCTATTTTTAATCAGTTTAAAATTCTTCTAGGGGAAGGAAAAAACAGGATTCCCTAGGATGGTTATAATTTCATAGCCTCTAGTCCGTTGCTGAAATCAGCAGCTTCAACTTCGCTTTCAGCCTCAGCCACAACGTCTGTTGTGAGTCAAGCCTTTGAAATAGCTGCGGCTGGGACTCAAAGCATTTCTCAGCTAAACAGAGAAACTAGTGATTTTTTGTTTAAAGATGTTTCTGTTCTGCACACAGCTGAGTTCCAACTTAACGAGGGGCCTTCCAGCCTGGGGAACTTGAAATAGATTCAGCTTTAAAAGAAATTAATTTCCCGTTCACAGGGTTTACATATTTGTGACCATGCTTATTGGCTCACAGTGCAATGTGGGCTTAAATCTGAATTAGAACCATCCCTATGGCTTGGACAATCCATCTCTCCTCGGGGATTCACTCTCCCACTAACCCCATCTCCCTGCACCAGGCCTCACCCCCTGTGACCCTGATTCTTAATATCTTCCCCTCTATTGCTGACTTCCGTTGTCATCATTACCTGGAGAGACTCCTTCTGCCCCAAAGCACTGCTTCCCCCTTCCCTTAGAAAACTTTGCTTCTGAGGCTGGGTTTACACTCAAACCAAGCCCCAGGGCTGTGAGATCTTGCATTGGCCTGCACTGTGGAGGGATGCACGTCCAGAATGGCAGCAGCTGGGGACAGCTTGGCAGGAGACTGTGCCCAACCCCCTGCTCAAGTTCAGGTCCCTGCCCAAAACATCCTACACATTGAAATGAAAGCTGGATAAAAACCAGCTTTCTAGAATTGTTACGCATTTTCAAGCACTAACTGAGGAGCTGGTTAGTTCTTTTCATAGCCGGAGAGCCCTTTTTATCATGTGATAATTACTTATGTCATTACTTGTAATAATTACTTATGCAACTGGTGTCAATCTATTATGCAATTTACTACTTACTTGCATAACAGACCAACTGCAGATGCTTCCTCAGCCTGATGAAGGGTATTTATACCTGAAAGCTTGCACAGAAAAATTTTTCCAACTATTTGAGTTGGTCTAATAAAAGATACCGCATATGCCCTAAGAACTGCATAACAGATATAACATGTAGCAGGGATCCCACCCCAGGCACACATCTGGCTGGCCTGCACTCAGGGACACCTGTCCTCCTCTCTGCATGCCTTCTGAACTGCCACCACAGCTAGTGTTGTTCCTGGTGCCAGCACAAATGGCCACCCCACCTCACCTGGCTGCCCATCACTGATGCTACCGGGCCTTCAAACAAATAAGGACAGCAAAACACTGAATGTGGGCTCCCTCTCCCAGATCTATCAGTATCAGAGCTGCCAGGCTGCCCTGGCTTCACGTGCCTGCATTAACATTGCCCCTGTGATCCCTGACTCCAGTAGGTAGGGCCTTACACAGCACTTGAGTCACATGGGGAAGCCGACGGGCCCTCAACAGGCGCGAACCCAAACAGGAGTCCTGAGGCGGGGTAAAGGGGAGTGCCCCTAAGCCCCAACCGGGGCTCCAACCTGCGCCCTGATTGGCTGCTGCAGGAGCCAATGACGTGCCCCGGGTTCCCTCCGAAGAAAGCGCCCCTAGGCCCGCAGCGGCGGTGGGTAACCGCCCCGCCCGGTCTGCGAGGGGCACTGTGAGCCCGCAGCCAGAGCGACGTCCCGGCTCCGCCGGATGGATGCGTCCTCTTCCCCAACTTCCGGTCTGCGCTTGCGGGGAGGGGGGAGGAGTAGGAAGAACTTTTGAACAACGCGCTCTGTGATTGGACCTACCTTTGTAGGAACACCAATAAGACGGCGCCTTACTGAGCTCGCCCGGCGGTGTCTTGGTGAGGGGGAGCGCGGCGTTGGGGGGTCGCCATGCCGCATTACCAGACCTGGGAAGAGTTCACGCGCGCCGCCGAGAAGCTCTACCTCGCCGACCCCATGAAGGTCTGGGCGTGTGCGGGGCGGGGGGCGCCAGGCCTGCGGGGGGCAGGAGAGGCCCTGGCCCCAGTTCCAGCTCTACATGGGCCAATGACCACAGATCAATGCAGTCAAGAAAATGAAATTAAAAAAAATGGAGCAGGGAAGAAAATCTTGCTTATTTTCCCCCACTCTTTTCAGTTTATTTTTAAATCGGTTGGAAGCTTTTCTAGGAGGGGGGGAAAACAGGTTTCCCTAGGATGGTTTTAACTTTATAGCCTCTAGTCCATTGCTGAAATCAGCAGCTTTAACTTCACTTTCAGCCTCTGAGTCAAGCCTTTGCAATAGCTGCGACTGGGACTTGCAGCATTTTTCAGTGAAAGGGAGAAAGCAGGGATCTTTTGTTCTTATTTTTTTGTTTAATGGTTTTTCTGTTCTGCATGCAGTAACTGTGCTGTTCCAACTTAATGAGGGGCCTTCCAGCCCAGGGAACTTGAAATAGATTCAGCTTTAAAAGAAATTAATTTCCTGTTCACAAGGGTTTACATAACCTCCTGGGCTCTGTTTTTTCTCCCCTGCCTCCCCACCATGAGTTCTCTTCTAACAGTCCCCTTTGCTGAAGGGGTCATGTGGCACTGACATGGCAAGGCAAAGTGGTGACGTTCCCTCATGAGTAGGTCTGGCTCTGTGATGTCAGTTGGCCTCATACCTAGTGCTGTGGCTCCTGGCCTTTCTAGATGTGCCCCCTCAATGTGTTTGAATCTGGTGACACCCAATTCAGATCCCCCTGTTGTGCTGCCCTGGCTTCCCTCCTTGCTCCTTGACCTGGGAATGCCAGGGCCAGATGGAACAATCCTGAGTGCTTCATGGGAGAAGGGCTGGAGTAGGAGTGTGGGCCCCTGCCTTTGTTAGAGTTTCCTGATAAACCTAAAGCAGGTGTGGGTCCTTGTTCTTGCTGCAGCCCTTCTTGGTCTGGTGTCCTGTGCCCATACTAGAAACAGATGCATAGGGTAGTTCCACCAATCTGCTTTGCCTCTTTTCTGGACAAGCATGCAGGGTTGGCTGGGAAAGGGCTGTGACAAGAGGCCCCCCCGGGGGGCATCTTTAGGGTGTTCAGTAACTGGGTCCAAGAAGATGTGAAGGTTGTATTTGACTTTAATCTGAATACAAATGATTATTAGTGGCGATCTTATAAAAAGGGCACACTTCAGTTGCTTTTTCACAAGCAGCAACAGAATGTAACTGAGAACTCTTCCTAGTTTAACTGCTGTCTGCAGCTCTAATTTTAGGAGCTTTAAAATTATCTGTATACTTAATTTTCTCTCTGCTTGTGAAAACAACTGTCAGCAGGGGTGTTGGAACAGTCTGCTTACAGACTGTAGCTCAATTACATTGGCTTGTTTGGAAGGATTTCTTAACTACAGTGGCTAGAAATTAACTTGTTAAACACAAGTTTAGATATTGTAGAAGTTACTGGCATAAGACTGGGTTGGGTTGAGCTGAACTTCCCAGTACTCACCATAGCCAGTAGCAAGCTTTGATTCAGCTTTTCAGTTTACTTTTAAGCAGGGAAAGGTTTGAAAAGGTAATTTCCAATGATCAAAGTATATCTTTGATATACAATCCTGCGAACTGTGTTTTAAGGGGTTTTTTTGCCCACTTTCAGTCCCTGCAAAACTTTCTGCTCTGCCAAATCATTTTTTCTCTGAAGGTGCCACAGAAGATACCGCTCTGGTGTATTTTGATACCAAGTTTTATGTTAATTTGGATAGTTGAATTCAAAGCTGTCTCTGTTCTTTTGCTTCCTTTCCAGTCACCTGGACTCTAGATTTCACACCACCTGAAAAATCTCCTGTATGGACAAATCCTGACTGGGATTGGGGTGTGTTTTGAGTGGGGAGGGGAAAGCAAGGATTGTAAAGAAATTGTTTGTTCTTTGTTATTCTCTGATCCAAAACATGAATGATTTTTCTTTTTTTTTCTGTCCTAAACTAGTCCCACAATGATACTCACGTAATTCTTCCCCCCCTCCCATGGCATATAGTGAAAACATGGTTGGTTCCTAGTCTCTCTTCTCGGGCTTCCCCATCCTACCAGGAACAGTTTTGCCTATCATAGCCTCTCATTGTGAGATCCAAAACAATTCGTGTCTCATTATTAGATATTTAATGGCAGTTTCTTCTGCCTCATTTGGATGTGACAAAATGTTTTTATTCTTATATCCAGCTAAATGGATTGTGGTGTGACCAAATAATACATTTGAAAGCCGTAAACTTAATAGGATAACAGCTGGGTTAGGGTTCCATCATTTTACGAGACTGTCTCTAACTGTTATAAAAGCACACCCACAACCTTTTGTCACATTTTAGATAGTTCACAGTATAGGCAAATTTTAAATATTCTGATAGTGCATGGAAATGAAAGAAATGGATCATAAATGAACAAATTAAATTCCATGGCAAAACTGTATGTACATTTTACTGAAACCAGTAAAATGTAAAAACGAGGCATTGCAGTTCAGGAAAACTTGGTATAAATTTTCAGATGTCTGCATATAATTACTAAAAATGTTTTTGTCATTTCAGGTGCGTGTGGTTATTAAATATCGCCACTGTGATGGGAACCTTTGTATCAAAGTAACAGATGATGTCGTTGTAAGTAAGGAGCATTTGTTACCTTGGCTTAATAATAATTCAGGCTTTTTAAGACAAATGATGTCATGTAACCTGACTGACAGTAGAAACTGCTTTTGGGAATCTTGCTTAATTCTGTAGGATCAGCTATAATTTCTCAAGTCATCACAGTCCTTAAATTTGTCTGTGTGCTTCTGATGCTGATGTAATTCCCAACTCTGTTCTCACTGACTCTAACAGTTCATAACTGTTCCAAAGGAATTTACTGGATTTTTTTTGAAAATCATAAATACATTTGCTCCCATAAAAATCCTTTATTTTGCTTATATAAAAAACTTGGGTGAACACAAGAAAGAGTTTGCTACTTTTATTTTAGCAGATTTTTCCAATGTAGTCTCAATTTATACTAGCCAAAAAGTATTTTGTTTCAGTATCTTATACTGGCTCAATGATTAATATAATCATAAAAATTATGTGAAAAATCACATCCCAAAACTATGTGGAATTTTTTTTGTTGATATATCAATATAAAAGTTCCTTCCAACCCTATTTCATTTATGATGGGAAGGAGAAAAGGTGCTGTATCTTGAACCAGAAGGGTACTCACAATGCAATATTTTTATTGTTAGTTGCATATAACATTGCCAGGGATCCTGGTTTTCTTTGTTTTAAAAATCCCAAATTCTCTGGTAATAAATACAAATCCTCTGATTTTTTAAAAAAAGCCCAAATCTGCGCTTTTTTTTTTTGTGATTGTGTATATATGACTAAAAAGTATATACTTTGAATCGGTTGAACACAATGTTGTTATTAATGGAG